CCCGCCTAAGGACCTCGTTCCAGGCATTCCTGGCCACGATTGGGTCAGGCGCGAAGTGGGGGAGACCCAAAGTGTGTTTAGGTATTTCCACGAGGTCAATGCGGTTTGGAAATCGCACAGAATTTGTGACCGTTCCTTTTCCCGAATGATCCGGCTTGAACCTTGTCAGGCCGGTGAGGGTGTGTACATGGGGAAGTCTACAGACCCTCCCCATTTTTATGTCTACCTGTGTTTCTTTAGGGATATAGGCGTCTGCCTTCCTTTCACTCAATTCGAGTGTGATTTTTTGAATTTTATCAACTCGGCTCCTTGCCAGTTGCACCCAAATAGTTGGGGTTTTTTGCGGGCTTATCAAGTCCTGTGTTCAGCTCTAGGGATAGAGGTGTCTCTTCCCGTTTTTCTTCATTTTTACCAGCTGAAATTAGGTGTTCCGCCTTATGGCTTACTGTCTCTAAGTGGGAGTAGGGATGAGGGTTTATTCACCCTTTACTCCCAGTCATATAAAAATTTTAAACAAGAGTTTTTTCGGGTTTCACTTGTGGATGTCGACCCGTTGGAGGATGGGGCATTCTACTTCGGCGGGTTTCCAAAGTTCCCCTTCTATTGGTGCCCCAAACTGTCTAGGTTTCACGGGGTGGGCCAATTGTAATTGACGGCTTCGGAGGCGGCTGCCATTGAGAACCTTGCAGCGCTTCCTCGCCCGCTGGATTGCAAGCTCGTCTTGTCGCTTGCAAACTCGGCGTACAAGGAGAGGGGGTTAGAGAATGAGTATTCCGTTTTCCTTAGATTATTTGGGTTTGTGAAGCCTTCTTTTGCTGATGTTCTTTATTTTCTGTGTTTGCAGGCATAATGGGCAAAAACAAGTGGTGTGAGATGAAGCACCGCTACAATGTTGCCGAGATTGAGGTTCCCGAGCCTCAGGAGGAGGAGGTTTCCCCCCTGAAGACGAACCGAAAAAGAAAGAGGGGCGAGAAAGAGGTTGGGGGGACCTCTGCCCCTCGTAGTGCCGAGGAGGTGACCTCGAGGGCCACTGACGTCGACGCGGTCGATCTCACTAGGAGCTCTCCGCCACCCGTGAAGGTTCCCCAAGTGGCCCCTAAGGAGATGGCTCAGGCTGCTGAGCAGGTTGCTCAGCCTGCCGAGGTGGTGAGTACCTTATCTCTTTGGCTTTTCTTCTATCTTTTATGTTGCTCTTCTGCCCTCTGACATAGGGCCGACTTCTGCAGGCAGGGGATGTTGCCGAGATGGTGACCCCGGCTGTTGGGTAGGCCGCCCAGGCTGCTAAGGTGGGTGCTTTGCCCCTCTGTGATTTTTCTTCTATGTAGCATTTCTCTTGTCTTTTGCCTTAGGAGGATAATTTTATTTTTTGCAGGTGAGGAATGTTGCTGGGGCCTTTGTACCTCCGAGCTCTGGGGCGCCAGGGGGAATCATCTCGTGGCCGAGCAGGAGGTGCCTGCATCTGTCGCCGCCGACCAACGCGGGAAGGAGCCAAGCTCCGAGGTCCCGACATCCACTCCAGTGACGTCGACGCCATCGTCTAGCCCGTCAAGAGGGCCCCCCAGAACCCAGTACCTTGCTCAGCGCTTCCAAAAGGGGGACTCCATGGTGAGGTTGGATCACTTGAGCGCCTCGGAGGACATCGATTCTTGGTGGAGCGCTGGGGTGTCTTCAAAAAAAAGTTTTCCCGAAGGGTCGCTGAGAACGACTGATCAAGCTATGATCGAGTCGGCTGGGCCTGTGGAAGGCCTAGACGCTGCCCAGGTCTTCCTGCAGAGGACCATGGCCATTATGGACTATTGGAAGCACAAATGGTCTAAGCAGCAGGAGGAGCTGGCGAGGTTGAGGGGCCGAGTTCAACCCTTGAGGGAGGAGAACAAGGCCCTGAAAGAGGAGAACAAGGTTCTGGGTGCCGCCCTTGGCGAAGCAAAAATGTAGGGGGCTGAGCTTCGAGCAACGAGGGGAGACCTCGCGAGGGTTCAGAAATCGCTGGAGATTGCCCTGCGTTCCAATGAGAGTTATGCCTCCCAGGTGAGTGAGCTGTAGGAGCTTGCTACCTCATCCCGAGGTCGGGTGCGCTCTTTGGAGGATGAGGTGACATCTCTGAAGGGCCAGTTGGTGGTGGCAGCTGAGAAGCGTCTCTGCGACGAGGTCCTTCTCGGTGGCAAAGAGGAGGAGGTTGCTGCTTTGAGAGTGGACCTTGCGAAGCTGAAGGTGGAGAGGGCGGTGCTGGAGAAGAAGCTTGAGGAAACCGAACAATCTGTTGTGGTTGAGCATAAAAGGGGTTTCCTCAAGGCAGCTCGCCAGGCCAGGTTTCTTGCGCCGGGGTTCGACCTCTCCGCCATGCACATGGAAAAGGTGGTTCGCTTCAGGAAGCTGGTAAAGGAGGATGATGTCGAGGACAGCACTAGCAAGAATGCCTCTGCATAGGTTAAGTTTGTAATAGTCTAGTTTATTTTTCTTTTTATTTTTTCTTTGAATTCAGGATCACGAGTTAATATGTTCTCCAGCAAGTAAAAGTTTTCACCAGTACTGTCTAAAG